GTTCCACTCATCTCAATCCAATAAACTTTGTCTTGGTCTTTGTTTGTGTCTAAACTCCTATCCCCCCCTTGTCTCAGGCGAGCCTTTAAGCGTCAGTGCACAGAGGACGGCAGCTGGCTGGAGGGGGCGTGCGAGCCGGTGACCTGTGACCCTCCGCCTGCCATCTTCCATGGCATGTATCAGTGCACGGATGGCTTCCGCTTCGACAGCACCTGCTGGATCAACTGCCCCGGAGCCAACCACACGGTGAGACCGCTGCACGCCGCTCCATGCAAGCAGGTCTGTCTCTCTCTACTCCTCCTCCCCTCAACTGCCTGTGTCTGTCTGTATGTCTTTTGAGCTTTCTGTCTATGGGGCTGGGCTGACTGTTTGAATGTTTGTCTGTCTGTGGGGCTGTCTATCTGTCTGTAGGGCTTTGTTTGTCTGCCAAACTGTCTATCTGCGTGTTTCTGTCTCTGTGTGTGTGTATGAGAGAGTGTTGTCTGTCTGTGTTGTCTATCTGTTATCTAGTTGGCTGGCTAGCTTGCTGTCTGTCTGTCTGTGTTGTCTATCTGTTATCTAGGCTGGCTAGCTTGCTGTCTGTCTGTCCAACTGTCTGTCTGTCTGTCTGTCTGTCTGTCTGTCTGTCTGTCTGTCTGTCTGTCTGTCAGCTTTGCCTTGTCTTTTGGTGTCTTCTTATAACATTGTACTGGCCCCAGTGTCTAGCTGTTTGTCTGTATCTGGTGTCTTTGTGATGTGTAAGAGAATAATGTGTTAGGGAACAGGAGATGTGAAGATCAAGATAATGCACAATTTTGTACATACAGTACTGTATGACACACACATTTTCACACAGACTGCCTTTCACTGCATTGTCCTTCACCTGAGGATCTCTCTGTGTGGTAGCCTTTGATGCAGAATTGTGTGTGGATTAGCATGACCTGGTGTGTGTGGCTGTATTATAATGAGAGGATCAGAGGGTGCTCAATCCAGTGTTCGCATGTATGATTCACTAATCTCCCGTGGGCAGATTCTGCGTATAGACCGAGAGGATCTGCCAGGACTGAATGAGATGCGTGAGATCCGAGCAGCATTGGGAGGGGTGGAGACTTTTTGCCAGAACTCTCAATTTCTAACATGTATGAACACAGAAGTTAATCAGGCAGCTGACCAAATTACGCTCGATTTGACTTCTGGGTTAACAGAGATGACTGGATTATAGACAGAATTGATTATCAATCTCTCACCTTCACTTTGTCTCATCCCCCTTTCCTCTCTTACTGCCTCCCCTTTCTTTCTCTCTCTCTCTCTCTCTCTCTCTCTCTCTCTCTCTCTCTCTCGCTTTCTCTCTCCCTCTCCCTCTCTCTCGCTCTCTTTCTCTCGCTCTCTCGCTCTCCCCATCAGTCCCACTCAATTAGCTCAGCCAGTTATTAGATTGACATTGATTTTCTAAATAGTTGTGCCATAGACAGATTAATTAGGCCCTTTAATCCTCCTTGACTACAGCTCCTCAGATGATTGTCAGATAAGAGTATCATGTTTCGTTGTGGTACGGAAGGTGGTTCTTAATGTCCTTGGTCTGTGTGCGTGTGTGTGTGTGTGTGTGTGTGTGTGTGTGTGTGTGTGTGTGTGTGTGTGTGTGTGTAGCAGGGGCCTAGCACCAATGTAATCCGCTGTAGGAAGGACGGCAACTGGACTGGCTCCTTCAAGCTCTGTCCTCAGAGCAAGGGACAGTGCTCTCTACCTCAAAACCTCAACCCCAGCATACGAGTCAGCTGCAAGAAGGGACATGGAATAGGTCTGTATATGCACAATGTGTGTGACATAGTAGAAACCATATTATACACTATGTTTGTCAGATTATAGAGCATCACTAGGGGCCACTAGGGGTCTTGAGGTAAAACTTAGGGACGTTGACATAACAAATAGATCACCAAGTGGATATGAAGTCAATTGTTTTAAGCTTTAAATAGGATCAAAGGCCATTTAAAAAACCTTATTTGATGTGTGTACAGTTTGTGCAGACACTGATGATGTCATTGGATTTGTTTTGTAACGCACACACACACACAGGTGAGGAGTGTGAGCTGATGTGCAGGGACAGTAACAACGACGTGGTGATCCTGCCTAGCAACATGACCGCAGACAGCGTACTCAAAGAGCACTGGAGAAACCCACCCAAAGTCAAGGTGTGTGTGTGTGTCTGTCACAAGTCCCACAGACGTACTTCACAAAGCACTGCTGCTCATGATCCGTCCTATTAGGAATTTAACACTGTGTGTCTGTATCCTGGTAATATTATGAACTACAGAAGGACCAAACCATTCACACCTACTGTCTCTCTGGCCAAAGCATCTTGGTTGGCTAGACACTGGAAAACAGATGATATTGGTAGGAACAGACAGACAGACAGACAGCCAGACGGATAGAAAGAGACAGAGAAAGACAGAATGGGAGATCAACATAAGAGGAACCCCCTGCGAGAGTTCACTCCAAGAAAACAAGTTGCAGTGCACTCTGGGACATGAAGTGTTGTGCTCCCACACTCAGCGTAGTCCACCACCACCCGCTACTGTATACCCTGGTTGCATTCAATTACCCCTCTATTGCCAGAACAGGCAGGCATGTCCCAATCAACACAATAACCACCGCGGCTTGGAGAAACAGATCCTAGCCAGTCATCTTTGAAGTCATGTGAACCGCAGCCAGCGCCGGGGCCAAGTCATAAAAGTTAAAAAGCTACGTGTCGTCAGTAATCACTATAATTTTTGAAATGACCCCATTAGAAGGCCCAACAGCCCAGTTTGATTTAGATGTACCTGACAGGGATATTGTATTGATTCTTCCCTGATTGCTTAAATTGGCAGTTGCGATTGGGAAATAAGGGTGGCTGGCAGTTTACAGAAGTGTACTGTAAACGTTGTGTAAACATTGTCCACCCGGAGGGCGCAATTCACATGGAGAGTAATTAAATACACAACGATAAGTACCATAATGTTGCTCTATCTAAATGTGTTTGTCAGAGAATTCCACCTCTTCCTCACTTCATTTAACTCGATTTAAGTCAATGGGACTTAATCATTAAATTACAGTTAAAATCTTTTTTGAAGGTTTTTAGCTGCAGTTGGATGGACCCTAAATAGGGTTAGGGGCTAGGGGCTAGGCTAGCCAATGAGTGCCTTGGGAATTAGGGGGGGTTTGTTTTCATTGCGAGTCGCGCCGAGTCAGCCATTTGTGGCGGTACAGGGGAAATAAAATGATCTGTTTGTAATTGACTGGGATAATGTCAGTCTGGAGACGAGGCAAGTGGGGGAAAGGGAGACAGGATTAATGGGGCATAGAGATGTTCCACAGGGGTTGGATGAGGTGAAATCAATAGGCTGTTCTAGTGTGCTCAGCAGCTTGTGCTGCTGCTTGTGCTTCTGTGCCGGCCCATGTCAATCGATGCATGTGAAGTCCTATGCAACCTGTTCCACCTCTTTGGCTACCAGACAAGGATAGGACAACCCCCCTCCCCTCTAGAAAAAACAAAGATGTAAACTCTGTCAGTCTGGTTGCGTGCAGCGGATGACTACTCAGTAAGGCTTGCCTTCAGAGCTGATGGCTCACGCCACGGGACGTCCAGTTTCTAAATTAAAGTGTCAACTCAACCTGTTCCATCTGGGATACGCTGCTGTGCAAATTGAACACACTTCTGAAAGCGCTATCTGGAAATCCACCCTGGTATCTGCAAATGATTGAATCCCAGCCTATAAGTGTTCTCAGATGAGTGATGCTTAATATGCCTCCTGTCTCTAACCAAATGTGATCTGTACCATCTACAATATCACGAGAACTCAATAGTAGACTGATTATGGGAAGTACAGTATATTTGCATAGAGAACCATCAAATATGATTGATGATTCAAATAATGATTAAAATCACAAATAACCCATGATTAGATTCAGTGGTATTATTCTCATAACATTTTACCTTAAAAGCTCCATCATGGAGCTACTCTAGATTCACAACAAAAAATGCAGCCGTTTCTTTAGTGTTCCACATGTTCAAGACGAACCCAGGCAAAAAATCCACTTTGCATTTCCATATGTGCTGAGCCAGAAGGTTTGGCCTCTTCATCACTAATAGTGATGTATCACCCTTCTGTAACCATTCGTTTTGGGGTTTGACCTACTTAGGCTACCATACTCCTCCTCTCGCTGATTTTCTGTAGCACGCTTTCCCTGCATCAGCAGAAATTACACTGCTACATTTAGAATCAGTCATTTTTATGTGAATAATATCTATTAGGGACATGACCTCACCGTGGAGATAAGGATCTATTTTGGTGGGATATCAGTGCCTCTGGGGCAGGTGCTGGGGCAAGGATACCGTGCGCGGAGGGGTGAGGCTAAGCCACGATCGTGAATTCTGTTGATTTACGGCCGAGCGAGTTTGCGGATGACTTCATCTTAGTGAAAATAGCAATGAAAAGTTTTTAAACTAAGTCTGTCTAGCCCCCACTCCTCCACTTTGCAGCTGTAGAGGACATGTAGCAAAGTCTAACCACTTTTACTGTGGTCATCCTAACTGGGGGGATTTGACCCCCCACCCCCTCAATGAGCTCACCCACTTCACTAAGGCATGCTGGGAAAGAAGTGTGCTGCTACCCAGTACCCAGCTGTCCTCAGATGCTCTGTTCTTTCTTTCTCTCCGCCGATCACTCTCCCTCTGCCCTCTCTCCCTTCTTCTTTTTTCTGCCATTGATTTGCTGACGGCACTGAAATGAAAAATACCCTAGTTTGCAGCAGCGAAAGAGCTCATCAACTCGTGTATTATTGGGACACAGCAGGGCTGGGAAATAGCGCTGTGGCGGAGGTCAGCCAGTTCTTTGCTGTGGATGGCACTTTTGATCCGGTCTGCACCGGGTTGGTTTTGCCTCACTGCATGTACTGGATCTCCTTTGTCTGGGGGCATCATGTTCACCTGAAAACCCTCTCTGGTCTCACCCATTTCACACAGACACATAGTCTTGTATACACTCTCCCAGCCTGCATAACACACACACATGCATGGAGACGCACAGATCCGCACACATGGGGACATGCACACACACACACACACACACACAGACACACACACTACAATCACCTCAGAAGCCCCCTAGAACAAAAAATATTTTTTTTCATTAATCCCAATGAGAGCAGACAATGAAAGGAACAGAGCAGATTCCCCACATACTGTGGAAATATTTGAGAACACGTTTCATACTCATACATACAGCGATGCAATCTCCCGTGGCCATTGCCCTGGTATGAAAGAGCACCTTTATATAAGGATCAAGTTATATCATGTCAAAGTAGATTTATTCAGCGATCTGTGGTAATCAATCAAAAGCAGGCTTCGCCACTGTTGGAAACATCCATGCATCCATTCATATGGGAAATACCATGGACTTTCCTCCTCCTGAATGTGGAGTGAGTTAAGGTGAACAACTTTTAACAAGGAACATGGTCGTTCCACTGGAGTGTTGGCACCCTGCCTTCCTTCTCACAAACCAAGGAGAAGATTTACCCGTCCACATTATGTGTCCGAGATCAAAGGAAATGCAGTAAGCGTTATCCAAACAGGCACATATAGCAAGAGAGGGAGAGAAAATAATGATTTACAACAAAAGTTGTTTGATTTAGGTCAGCTGGGAACGTTGGAATGAGGTAGAGGTAGGACGTGGTTGTGCAGGATAGGTCTAGTCAGCTTCAGTCGCTTTGGTAAAAACATCTCATTGCAAGGTATTTCAAGGTATTTGACCTGTAGAAACACTTGTTGGAACCCACCTTTGTGCAAGTGAATCAGCTAGGAGTGTAATGTGCTTGTGGTTGGGATCAGACGTCACTGCGAGTCGGATCTGTTGAAACAAGGCGCAGAGGTGGCAGACTTCAAAGAGCCAACCAACCATCATAAGAAGTGTACTATATCCTCCTCAGTAGCTGCATAAAAAGTTTATATTTGTTAACGCCCCCTGCGAACCATTGACAATATCAATATAGCCTTATATTGTATAGAGAGATATGTATCAGTTAGTTGTAGGACCAAGGTTATGACATGAGTCTGGCTTTGGAAGAAAGAGAGAGAGAGGCGGCAGTAGGTGTTTTTATGTTTTCTTTTTTTGAGTTCTGTGCCAGCGTTCCTGTCGACGTTGGCTGGTGGAGACTGTGTGTGCAGCCTAGTCTTGCCATATGACTCCTTGTTTATGTTTGTGTGGGTTCTGGGGAAAGACAACACAATTATGCATTCACAGCAGCCGGCAACAACATGCTGTTCCACATATACTTTCACTCCACAGTCTAATGTGCTTTTCCCACCATCATTACTAGTAGTACTACTACAGTATGGCTACAAAATCCATCCTTACAACTACATCTCCCCGTCATTTATATTTTAATCAATATATCTTATTCCATAGCTCACAGATTGACATTTCATCCATAAACAGTAGAGATATTTTGAGTGTCTGAACCCCTTTTGACTGTTTTCCTTTTGTCTCCTTACAGAATATAGTGTGTACAATGGGACTGAAGTGGTTTCCACATCCAGAGGTGCTCCACTGCATCAAAGGATGTGAGGTAAGAACTTCTATGAGCTTTCTGAGGATAGTAGTTTATCTATGAGATAAAGGTTTCACCTGAGATAGAAGATATGGGGTAAGGGCCTCATCTATGTGAGAGGATGTGAGGTAAGGACTTCACCTGAGTTAAAGGAAGTGAGGTAATAGGTTTGCATGAAGGATTGGGAGAGAGGTAAGGGCTTGAGAGGAAGTGAGATAAGAGGACATGCCATGCGTCATGGAGGCCAGTGGTGATGAGGAGAGGTGTGTGAGGAGTGTAAACACTGTAACAGAACATATACACAGGATTAAGTGCTCTGATAACAAGGGCTTCTTTATGCATTTTGTAATGTATCCTGATATTTCCTAACATGTTATCAGATCAGACATCACCTTCAGTTTCCAGATATGTAGCTTTTTCAACTCCCCATGGAGTTTGTGCAGGCACTAGCTCGGCGGGAGCTGTCAAACTCGAACACTCAGTCAGTTGGTTCAAATGGAGCTGGACAGATAAGAGAGATCAGGCCTGGTCATGTTTGAAAGAGTTGGCAGCCATTACTGGCTCTTACCTGGAACTGACTAGCACTCACACAGATACACACACTCACACACACACACACACACACACACACACACAGAGTTCTGAACACACTGCCCTGAATACAATGCCAGCCAGGTAGCTAGCTAGCTAGCTATCAAAGAGACATGCCTTTTTACAGCAGTTGAGCTCATTTGGGAGAAGGTTGAAATATAACATTGTTTCAGAGCATGGGTAAGCTAATTGTTCTCTCTGGGGAGATGTGCTGCTCCTGTGACGTCAGTTACCGTGGATACCGGCACAAGCGGAGACGGTTGTCAGTGGAAGCCAATTAGAGGCGGGTTTGATTCATGTCGTCTCCAAAATGAAACACTTTACCCACATGGGGACATGGATCTGTTTCAGAGAATCCCTGCTAGAGAAGAGAAGCAGGAAAGAACTGATACTGGGCTATAGCTGTAATACTTTGTCTACACACCCTATGTTGCTGATATTGTAGTATGCCAATATTTTCAGATCAGATATGTTAACAAAATGTGTTCTTTCCTCAGGAAAATATATATTTTGATTTTACAGTGATGAACTATGTTTTTACATTTTATTGTGGTAAAGAAAGTATCCCCCTTCTGCTCGGTGTTGGTAGAAGGATGATGTCATCATTCATACAGCTAAAGCCAATTGGATAACGAAGGGGGTGCGGGGCTACCCTCATAAATCACATAATTGGAGTGTTTCTTAGCCTCATATATTTTATGGTGTCCTCACATTGATTTACTAGTCTGGACCTCGCACGACTTAAAAAGTCACATTGTGTCACAAGTGTAAATTATGCACCAGATCAATCAGCAAATCCAGCACACAACCTCAAAAACGGCACTGGGGTGAGATGGGTACCAAAAAAGTTTACAAGTTTAAAGCTGCAATATATAACTTTTTGGGCGACCTGATTAAATTCACATAGAAATGTGAGTTATATTCTGTCATTCTCATTGAAAGCAAGTCTAAGTAGTGGTAGATCTGTTCTATGTGCGCTATTTCTATCCTTCCTGTTCTTAAGTTTAGTTTTTGCGTCTTTTACTTTTGGTTTTGTACACCAATATATTTCACAGAGGTTTAGATGGTACAATGATTCTCTACACTATACTTGCTTGTTTTGTCACAAACTGAAATTAGGCGAACTCTTGGAATTTTAGCAACCAGGAAATGGCAGAGCGATTTCTGCATAGTGCACATCTAAACAATAGGCTACAGCAGAGCTGCCAACTCTCACTCATTGACCGTGAGACACGCATTTGCACCTCTTCTCACGCTCTCGCGGCACACCTCTTATATCTCACGCATTGAAAAGTACTGCTTTTATTTTTCGAGTTAGGTCATTGTAGAGTCAGTGCGTTAACTTTTCAGCTGTGCTCCAAATCGTTTTGAAATCAGTGCATCTGCGCCTGCAATTTAACACCACAAGCTGAACCTCTATCATTGTCCTGTCTTGTCACAGCACTGTGAACTGCGGCACATTGAAGCATATGATTGGTCTAGCTATGTAAGGGATCAAGGTGATTGGATGCATGCTTTAAAGAAATACCCCTCAAGATTAGAGTGGCGGTCAATGGAGAAATACTTTTCTCAGCTGAGTTTATAAAACTCTAAAAAGAGTAGCACGGGAGCGCTATTTTATGTACAATGTTGTCAACAAAATTAGGTTGCTGTTACTCCAGTCCCTATTGCAGAATGCAGCCTTTTGACAGCATGTACTAAAGTCTATTTATATTTAATCCACACTTGCATTTGTCCCCTCGTTTGGTGATTTGCCGTTTAGGCTGTGACAACGAAAAGGCAGCAGACAGACCTACAGTATGTTTTAGCAGGGAAGTTTGGTAGGGTGTAGATTTGTCAAACAGATTGTGAACCCAAAGTGTACGTTTCATTCTAGAGCGGGATAAAAAATAGAAAAATAATTTGGTTAGGGTGTAGGGGCAGATTTACGTAATCTTGTTTTAAGGAGATGTTATTATTTCATTATTTAATAATTTTTGACATTTTACTATTGTGCACATGCTAGGCAGAGATGGTAGGGGTACTCACAACTCATAAACACATCATATTTTGTCTATGTAGAGTAAGATGATGACAGGGATCTTCAACTAGTAGGCATAAACCACTTGAATATTGATATTCTTTCGATTTTTCTTAAAGTTTGGGTGATTTTTGAGAAATTAATTGTTATAACAAGAACATTTTCAAACACCCAGCTCTTCAGTGGAGGCCAACCCTCCTGGAGAGCAAGCAGGATTTTCTTCCAGCCCTATTTTAAAGAGATAGTTCACCCAAATTACAAAATGTTTGTGTCCTTACCTTGAAAGCAGTCTATGGACAAGGAGACTGCAATCTATGATTTGGTTACGCACTGCCATCAACCATTTATATAAACACACATTTCATCCCCCAAAAATCTCAAAGTAACAAAGTCGTTGAATTTTGAGTATTCATTTAATGTTCAAAGCATCCTGAATACACCTGACCTGTGGTTTATTTTTTATTTATTTTCCACCCTAGTCAATTTCAGGAAATGAGCTTTAAAACAGTAATATTATCTGTCTAAGGGTTGTGCCAGGGGGCAATGAAATTCACATAGCAAATCTCACTCCATGCTTTCTTCAAAAGTTGGCAGCCCTGAATACAATATTAACTAACTTAAACTAATATAGAGCACTTAAGTGGGATAATCAACACAAATAAATCAGAGGGAATCAGTGGATTTCTCCTCTATATGTTGTCCATATGTGTACGTACAGTACACTGCATTGGTTGTTGATGACGTCCTGCCTCTTATTGTCTCCTCTTGTTTGTTGCTGTCTCTGTCTGTCACAGCCCTTCATGGGAGACAATTACTGTGACTCGGTCAACAACAGAGCCTTCTGTAACTACGACGGAGGGGACTGCTGCCACTCCACCGTCAAGACCAAGAAGGTAAGTAACATCTGGACCTGGATTCACTCAACCTTATCAAGACAAAATGTCATATTTTTATCTGCCTTTTGATCTTAAGTTAAGATAAGAGTTAAGATAAGAGTTAAGATATAACAGCCGTTGAGTATCTGATTTTATGGTGGATTGTGGAGGAGGGGGGTTGAGTGTGTTGGAGTATGTGAGTATGTGCGTGTGTGCTTGTCTGGCATCTGTTGTGGGGGGGTGGGAATGTTGGGGGGGGAGGGGGGGTATGGATGGACCACAGGAATTATTTGCTAGGATAATAATTGCTTGTCAATGAATTAAATATAATACAATGGCAATCCGGGTTATATGTTAGAATCCTACGCGTGAACTGCCGACATTATTACGCATATTCATTGATAATGATGGAAAATAGGATATGCATAGTTTAAAAAAAATAGTTATATAGATATATATATAGAGAGGTGAAAGCATTGGAAATGCTTTTGGCGGTTAATCTGCTTCTGTTTTGTGGGTGGCACTGTGTGCTGTTTTCGATGGATGGGTCCTGGCCTCTCGGGGCCTTAGGGATCCGGAGGGACGTGGGTGGGATGCTGATCACTGGGATGACGGCTCAACTTGGGATGGGGAGGGGCTTTAGCGGGGGAATTAGTGGAGAACAATTGAAGGGTTACTCCGTAGCAATGCAAATATCACGGTACAGCTATATGGACACTCAATCATTACGGTATTTTTTATTGGTAAATTTACAAACATGTATAATGATAAATAGACTTGAAACTTGTATCTCATTATGGTGTATGGTGAAATAAGTATAGCCCGTTATAATTGTAATGGCTTAGCTGATAATAACAAAAGAATAACAATATTTACATGGCTCGAAGAGAAGGAATATAATATCTATTGTATACAGGAAACTCATTCAACAATTCGAGATGAAGTCGCGTGGAAAAAAGAATGGGGGGGAAATATACTTCTCCCATGGGCAAAGAAATTCAAAAGGGGTGATGATATTAATTATTAGTAATTTCGATCTGAATGTGCAAATTGTCAAAATAGATACACAAGGTAGATGGATTATTTTAAATATGTTATTGGACCATAAACAGATATGGCTCATTAACCTTTACGGACCAAATAATGATGATCCACAAATCTTTGACAATATATATAATAAATTATCAACCCTGCAAGCAATTCAAGACAATATTATTATGGTGGGGGATTATAATACTGTTTTAAATAGCTCAATGGACCGTAAAGGAAATCACACCACAAACAATCACCCACATGCTCTTAAGGAAATTGTGAATGTCATGGATACATTAGAACTAGTAGATATATGGAGGCTTAAATATACTGATCTAGTGAGATATACATGGCGGAGACTGAATCAAGCTAGTCGTCTTGACTTCTTTCTTATCTCATTCTCTTTGGCACCAAAAGTTTTAAAAAGTGTTGTTATTGGACAGAATGCGGTCGGACCATCATATAATAGGCATATACATTACTGTTACCGAATTTCCACGTGGGCGAGGATATTGGAAATTTAATCAAAGCCTATTGGATGATAATTTATTTATAAATAGAACAAAGGAATTTATAACTGACTTTTTCCAACATAACATAGGCACAGCGAATCCCCTTATTGTATGGGAAACCTTTAAATGTGCCTTTAGAGGCCATGCAATTCAGTACTCATCTCGAAAACAAAAGCAATTTAGGTCAAAAGAGTTTATACTAAGAAAGGAAATAGAAAGTCTAACAGAACAGATAGATGGCAATAAAAACTGTAACATAGAGGCTCAGAATAAATTAGAGGAAAAACAAAAAGAAATGGAGAAACTTATTCAAGAAAGATCAAGTGTAATATATTATAAAAAATAAAGCAAACTGGATGGAATATGGGGAAAAATGCACAAAATTATTTTTTAATCTTCAACATAGGAATGCTACCAAAAAGAACTTAATGAAACTGGTTACAATTGACGGAGTCACCCATAATTCACCAAATGATATTTTGAAGGTAGAAACAAAGTACTTTAAGCATATGTTTTATTTTCAGTCGCCTCCATCTCCTCTAACTGAAGCTAATTGTAGAGTTTTATTTCTATTGATAATGTCAAATTAACAGCCACACAGAAAGACTCATGTGAAGGTGAAATTACAGAGGAGGAACTTCTGGATGCAATTAAAGACTTTAAGTCTGGGTTGGATGGCATACCAGTCGAGGTATACCAAACCTTTTTTGATATACTAAGAGGACCGTTATTAGCATGTTTTAACCACTCCTATGTAAATGGAGATTATCTGACACTCAAGAAGAAGGTCTGATCTCATTATTACTGAAACAGGATACAAGTGGAAAATATAAAGATCCAGTCCATTTACAAAATTGGAGGCCCCTTACAAAATGTATAGCGCATAGAATTAAAAAGGTATTGTCGGATATTATTCATTCTAATCAGACAGGTTATTTACATGGAAGATACATTGGAGATAATATAAGGCAAGTATTGGAAACAATAGAACACTATGGAAAATATGGGAAACCAGGCCTGCTATTCATAGCAGACTTTGAAAAGGCATTTGATAAAAGTTCAACTGGGGTTTATATATAAATGCCTGGAGCATTTCAATTTTGGAGAATCTCTTATAAAATGGGTCAAAATCATGTATAGTTACCCTAGGTGTAAAATAGTAAATAATGGCTATTTCTCAGAAAGTTTTAAACTGTCAAGAGGAGTGAAACAAGGTTGTCCACTATCGGCATATCTATTTATTGTGGCCATCGAGATGTTAGCTATTAAAATCAGATCCAATAATAATATCAGAGGATTAGAAATCCAGGGCTTAAAAACAAAGGTGTCATTGTACGCTGATGATTCATGTTTTCTTTTAAATCCACAACTAGAATCCCTCCACAGCCTCATAGAGGATCTTGATACATTTTCTAACCTCTCTGGATTACAACCAAATTATGACAAATGTACTATATTACGTATTGGATCACTAAAAAATACAATTCTTACATTACCATGTAGTTTACCAATAAAATGGTCTGATGGTGATGTGGATATACTCGGAATACATATCCCAAAGGAAATAAATGATCTCACTTCAATACATTTTAATAGAAAGTTAGCAAAAATAGACAAGATCTTACTACCATGGAAAGGAAAATACCTGTCAATTTGTGGAAAAATCACCCTGATTAACTCTTTAGTATTATCCCAGTTTACCTATTTGCTTATGGTCTTGCCTACGCCTAGCGAACAGTTTTTTAAATTATATGAGAAAAAAAGATTCAATTTTATTTGGAACGGCAAGCCAGACAAAATTTAAAGGGCATATTTATATAATGAATATGAATTTGGAGGACAGAAATTATTAAATATTAAAGCATTAGACCTATCACTAAAAGCTTCAGTCATACAAAAGTTATACTTAAATCCGAACTGGTTCTCAAGCAAATTAGTAAGATTGTCTCACCCAATGTTCAAGAAAGGCCTTTTTCCCTTTATTCAGATTACAACAACTCATTTGCAGTTATTTGAAAAGGAAATCATCTCCCAAATATCACTATTTCTAAAACAAGCCATAGAAAGTTGGTTGCAATTTCAATTTAATCCTCCAGAAACGACAGAACAAATAATGCAACAAATATTGTGGTTAAATTCAAATATACTAATTGACAAAAAACCTTTATTTTTGACAGAATGTTTAAAAAAGCTATAATCTTCGTAAATGATATCATCGGTAGGACTGGTGGAGTTATGTCGCACATGCAGCTAACAAAAACATATGGAAATGTCTGCTCTACCCAAAATTACAACCAAATAATTGCAGCCTTACCGCAGCAGTGGAAGACGAAAGTGAGGTGGAGAAGGGGGAGAAAGTAAGGAACTTGTCTGTCGGCCTTGCATTAAAGAACATAATTGGTTAAGGAAAACTGTGATAAATAAAAAAGTATATCAGTTTCACTTAAGGACCAAAGGATTGACAGCCGTCCCATAAAGATTACAAAATAGTTGGGAAGAGATCTTTGACGTACCGATCCCATGGCATAGTGTTTATGAACTGACACGCAAAACGACACCGGATTCAAAAATTAGAATCTTTCAATTTAAATTATTATATAAAATTCTTGCTACCAATAGAATGTTATTTATATGGGGGATACAATCTTCCCAGCTCTGCAGATTTTGCTGTGAAGAGACAGAATCATTAGATCATTTGTTTTGGTTCTGTCCATTTGTAGCTTGTTTTTGGACACAGGTCCAGGAATGGCTAAAGGATTGCAATATTTACCTGGAGCTAACCTTGCAGATAGCATTACTGGGTGATCTGAAAAGTCATAGTCAATCGATCAATAATATAATAATACTTTTAGCAAAAATGTTTATTTTTAATTCACAATATGTAGAAGCAATGAGAATAGAAAGGTTCAGAACTTTTGTAAAACATCACAGTACGTTTGAAATATATATGGCAAATAGAAATCCTATATGGATGGTGTTAAGAGATAGATGGGAGGTATTGAATAGAGTTGAAGGATGGGACTAATAACAAATAACAACAAATAATAACAAATATAGCTAATAATGTAAGCATACTGTGTCCATAATAAGTATATAGGTTGTATGTTGGGAGCTTTTGGGAAAGAGCACAGTTAGAAAGATATGGCATATAGAAGCAAACCGGATGGACATCATGAAAATGATCGGAGAGGTTGAGAGTAGAAGAAGTTCAGGAGCAAAAAAAAATAAAAAAAAAATATATATAATTATTGTAAAATTAACTGTGTCCATAAGGTGTAGATAGTAAGTATAGACCGGAAGTAGAGGCCTGGGCATTGTTGTTCACTAATTTACTCCCTAAGTAGGGAAAGGATGGCGGGGTTGAAAAGTAATAAAGGGGAGTATATATATATATAAAACATGGGGGATTGGAAGTGATGCAGATAATTACATTGATAGAAGATACAATCTATCTGCAATATTAAGCTGATCCACCCCCCCTAAAAAAAAAAGAAAAAAGAAAAAAAAAAGATAAGAGTTAAGAGAAGATAAGATATGTTCCTAAACAAAGTTAATGGGAATAGTCTTAAATTTATTCTTATGTTGTCACTGTGACTACTGAGAGTTATTTGAAATTGGGTGTGAACTTATGTTCGCTGCCATATATTTTTGATCTTGACATTTTGAAGATAAGCAACATAAAGCTTCCTTTTTCTGTTTCACATTGGCAATGCTCAGTTGCCCAGCTTTACGGGTTAAGAGTTTTTACTCCACCAGTTGTACACAGCTGTTCTGTACACTCTGTGTTTCTCTAGCTTGGTGTGTGTATTGTAGTCTTTTTCCCAGGCTGTGTCTGGCACTCTGGCTGGTTTAGAAGTCTATCGTAGTTCCTCTACCTGAGTCTGTACTATTCTCTGTTTCTCTGGCTCATTCTGTTCCTCTGTGGATCTGGCTGGGTTTTTACTGTAGCATGTGTGTCTGTCTGTCTGGATCCAGAGTCTCTTCATTTCCTGCTGGGAGCCAGGCGCATGTGTCCCCTCTCCCCAGAGTCCAATCAGAACGTGTGTGATTGCTTCCGTTCCACCTTCACTGTTCCTCCCTCGCTATTTTAATGTCAGCGTTCCACAGTATCAGGATTAATCAACGTTTTATCCTCACTGTTCTATGCTTCCCACCATTCCACCCTCCCTGTTCCTCTCAGGCTCCTCCACTTTGGCTTATTCCACTCTCTCTGTACCTGTTGTAAAAAGGAGAAGGTTCTTGGCTTCTGTTGTGTAGCCAACCTGGTAAAATAAAAAGTCATTTGTAAGTCAAAAACAAAGAGCCAAAACCAGGATCAAGCCAGAGACAGTAGTTTTTACCTGGATGCATCATCTTTATTGGACCCACCCATGGTGTGTTCCAAAAGACTGCTGTTTGTTGACTAGCTGCTTTGGCCCATTGACTGGCCAGGGCTTCCAGTAAGAAGCTGTTCAGCAGCACCAGGAACAAGTTGTCTTTCACAACCTCTCTGTCTCTAGTTATGGAAAACCAGCAGTAGGCATGGACTGACTGATATCTGATAACAAATGTGTCTGGTATCTGTAAACAGAGCAGTAGTAGTATGCCAGTCACCAGTCTCATGCTGTAGCCTACTTGGGGATGTTCCATCATTCTTACTAGAATGTTTTACGTCCATTTCCTTTCAATCAATAAGTCAGTCATGTACTAATGTATGTTCAGACATGTTGCCACATAGAAACTGGCCTAGGGCTTTGTTTTTGTCCTTCACTCATCTGTTGTGTATTAGCACAGGAATAGGGGTGTTTAGAGTCCATAATTGAGGGTTGAAAGACACTGGCACAGTGTGGGATGTAGCCACTTTGATAAACAAAAATACAACTCCTACCAACAGTTGTTAGCTGCACTTTGGTGGTTAGTGTCCTTGGATACTGAATATCAGACAGACACTAGACAGACACTAGACAGACAGACAGGCAGGCAGGCAGACAGAGGAGACGGCCCATCTCTGGGAGCGTGTCTCTGAACGTCGGCCATTTCCGCTGAGCCGCAATGATAAGAGGATCACCTGGGCTCAAGCCCCAAAGCCACGCGCTACTCCCAGGCATTCAGCCTGGCAGCCGTTGAAGCAAACACTTCAGCTGGTATTTCAAAAGTGACTTCCCTGGAAATGGTTAGGATTTGGGAAAGATAGAGAAAATTGCTCTGAAATAACCGATCATAATTTGATTTATCGGCTGCCAGGAGTGAATGGCGAAAGAGGTTACCTGAGTTGAAGAAATGAGAAGGAAATATACGGAGGTGAAATGGGTCTGACAGGTGGGAGAGGCATCAAACAATAGTCCATTGAAAATCTTCTAATTTATTATCAAGAATGTATGAGGAACTCATCCATGAATATAGAACATGTGGCATCTAAATTCAGTATAAAGACAAAAACACCTTTTAATGCCTCATCTGACTCTGTGAAAACAGTCTGGATCTAAATGGTTACCCTCACCCTCATCTCTGTCTGATTATCCCAGCCCCAAACAAAACAACACGACACAGACAATGACAAAGTAACTCAGACCTCTTTTTACGACAGTCTCCATCTATTCTGCCCACTCACTGGTGACACACAGACAGTCAGTCAGTCACACACTGTTTTCCTCCTTGTGGGAAGTTAGTGTTGTTGTTTCAGCCACAGGCAGAGATTCCATCTAGAGAGCTGCATTCCCGCGGGTATCCCATGAGACATGCAGGCCCCTGCAGAGCATTGCGGCACGGTTGGCATTTTCCATGCTGTGGGCGGGAGTGGCGGTCAGACACACCACTTTGGGATGAAAATATGTTTTTGTCCCGCAGATTTTTTGTTTTGTATGTGTGTGTTATCTGATGTATTAAAGCACCTCGTTGTCACACTATTCTCAAACTCTCATAGGATAATGCTGCTTCAAATTCAGTAACATAACTCTCCTCTCTTGTGTTTGGCGTGCGAGATCAAATGTGCCTATGCGTGGTCTCAATTAAATAGCCTGTAGGCTATAAATGGGCGGAGAAGCATGCGCAGTTGTTTTTGCATGGAAATGAACTTCCTAAATATGAAAGGCTATAGTTTAGGCCCCGATATTGACTGGGAATAAATATAGATCACACATTTATTTGTGTCTCCCTGCAAATGTTCCTGTTCCTATCAATGTTACGCAAGATTAATACAAAACGCTTGTCTTTCTGTTTTGTAGGCTATTCGTTATCTATTGTATTAAAAGCACCTCTGTTGCAATATTCACAAAGAGCTACTTCTTGCTGATTTACGCTCAGTAGCCTACCTTTCTTCTCTTTTGTTGGGCATGCGAGATCAAGTGCACCTATATGCGGGCTGCATCATACAGTGGGGAGAACAAGTATTTGATACACTGCCGATTTTGCAGGTTTTCCTATTTACAAAGCATGTAGAGGTCTGTAGTTTTTATCATAGGTACACTTCAACTGTGAGAGACGGAATCAAAAAAAATATCCAGAAAATCACATTGTATGATTTTTAAGTAATTCATTTGCATTTTATTGCATGACATAAGTATTTGATCACCTACCAACCAGTAAGAATTCCGGCTCTCACAGACCTGTTAGTTTTTCTTTAAGAAGCCCTACTGTTCTCCACTCATTACCTGTATTAACTGCACCTGTTTGAACTCGTTACCTGTATAAAAGACACCTGTCCACACACTCAATCAAACAGACTCCAACCTCTCCACAATGGCCAAGACCAGAGAGCTGTGTAAGGACATCAGGGATACAATTGTAGACCTGCACAAGGCTGGGATGGGCTACAGGACAATAGGCAAGCAGCTTGGTGAGCAGGCAACAACTGTTGGCGCAATTATTAGAAAATGGAAGAAGTTCAAGATGACGGTCAATCAACCTCGGTCTGGGGCACCATGCAAGATCTCACCTCGTGGGGCATCAATGATCATGAGGAAGGTGAGGGATCAGCCCAGAACTACACTGCAGGACCTGGTCAATGACCTGAAGAGAGCTGGGACCACAGTCTCAAAGAAAACCATTAGTAACACACTACGCCGTCATGGATTAAAATCCTGCAGCGCACGCAAGGTCCCCCTGCTCAAGCCAGCGCATGTCCAGGCCCATCTGAAGTTTGCCAATGACCATCTGGATGATCCAGAGGAGGAATGGGAGAAGGTCATGTGGTCTGATGAGACAAAAATAGAGCTTTTTGGTCTAAACTCCACTCGCTGTGTTTGGAGGAAGAAGAAGGATGAGTACAACCCCAAGAACACCATCCCAACCGTGAAGCATGGAGGTGGAAACATCATTCTTTGGGGATGCTTTTCTGCAAAGGGGACAGGACGACTTCACCGTATTGAGGGGAGGATGGATGGGGCCATGTATCGAGAGATCTTGGCCAACAACCTCCTTCCCTCAGTAAGAGCATTGAAGATGGGTCGTGGCTGGGTCTTCCAGCATGACAACGACCCGAAACACACAGCCAGGGCAACTAAGGAGTGGCTCCGTAAGAAGCATCTCAAGGTCCTGGAGTGGCCTAGCCAGTCTCCAGACCTGAACCCAATAGATTGTATTGTATTGTATTGCCTAGCGACAGCCCCGAAACCTGAAGCATCTGAAGAAGGTCTGTATGGAGGAGTGGGCCAAAATCCCTGCTGCAGTGTGTGCAAACCTGGTCAAGACCTACAGGAAACATACGATCTCTGTAATTGCAAACAAAGGTTTCTGTACCAAATATTAAGTTCTGCTTTTCTGATGTATCAAATACTTATGTCGTGCAATAAAATGCAAATTAATTACTTAAAAATCATACAATGTGATTTTCTGGAATTTTGTTTTAGATTCAGTCTCTCACAGTTGAAGTGTACCTATGATAAAATGTACAGACCTCTACATGCTTTGTAAGTAGGAAAACCTGCAAAATCAGCAGTGTATCAAATACTTGTTCTCCCCACTGTATGTGTGGTCCCAATTAAATAGCCTGTAGACTAGGCTATATGGGTGGAGAAGCATGGCACAGTTGTATTTAACTTCCTAACTATGATAGGGTTTAGTTTAGACATTGATAACTCAATATTGCTCGCAGATCGTTGCGCTCCTAAAAGTTATGCAAAATGTAGCTCAAGTCAATTAACTGTTCATTCTCCTATATTTTGCTCCAACTATACTCTCTTTCAAACCATGTCTACCCTTTGGCTGATATAGCCCAATAATACTGATAGCCTAATATAATGCACCACATGAGAATCTCTGGTATTTTAACTTATTTCTTAGGCTATTTTGGCGCATTTTTATCTTTACTAGGGGTGGGGAAATTGCTGGGACAGGGAATGCACAGCGAGCTGCCACATACACCTAAAATAACATTTTGGGATCAGTCCTTTTAGGACTGGGTGGGAGTCCGACAAGAAGTCGGCAGGAGCGGTATGAAAAGCAGCGGGATTGGGCAGGAGCGGTATGAAAAGCAGCGGGATTGGGCGGGCGTGGTATGAAAAGCAGCGGGATTGGGCAGGAGCGGTATGAAAAGCAGCGGGATTGGACAGGAGCGGTATGAAAAGCAGCGGGATTGGGCGGGCGCGGTATGAAAAGCAGCGGGATTGGGCGGGCGCAGTATGAAAAGCAGCGGGATTGGGCGTGAGCCATATGAAAAGCAGCGGGATGAAGAAATCAGTCCTGCACAGACCTCTAATTCCATCCGTTCATGTTTGTTAGATGTAGCTTTGCACTTCTCCAAGCCAACAATATAAACTTTTTAGACAATTATAAGGTTAGTGGAGGGACCCCATTTGATCAACTGACTTATAAACCCCATAAGGTCAGGAAAGGGTGTTTGTAGTACAGTGAGGGAAAACAGTATTTGATCCCCTGCTGATTTTGTATGTTTGCCCACTGACAAAGAAATGATCAGTCTATAATTTTAATGGCAGGTTTATTTGAACAGTGAGAGATAGAATAACAACAAAAAAATCCAGAAAAACACATGTCAAAAATGTTATAAATTGATTTGCATTTTAATGAGGGAAATTGACCCCCTCTCAATCAGAAAGATTTCTGGCTCCCAGGTGTCTTTTATACAGGTAACGAGCTGAGATTAGGAGCACACTCATAAAGGGAGTGCTCCTAATCTCAGCTTGTTACCTGTATAAAAGACACCTGTCCACAGAAGCAATCAATCAATCAGATTCCAAACTCTCCACCATGGCCAAGACGAAAGAGCTCTCCAAGGATGTCAGGGACAAGATTGTAGACCTACACAAGGCTGGAATGGGCTACAAGACCATCGCCAAGCACCTTGGTGAGAAGGTGACAACAGTTGGTGCGATTATTCGCAAATGGAAGAAAAAAAAATGAACTGTCAATCTCCCTCGGCCTGGGGCTCCATGCAAGATCTCACCTCGTGGAGTTGCAATGATCATGAGAACGGTGAGGAATCAGCCCAGAACTACACAGGAGGATCTTGTCAATGATCTCAAGGCAGCTGGGACCATAGTCTCCAAGAAAACAATTGGTAACACACTACGCCGTGAAGGACTGAAATCCTGCAGTGCCCGCAAGGTCCCCCTGCTCAAGAAAGCACATATACAGGCCCGTCTGAAGTTTGCCAATGAACATCTGAATGATTCAGAGGAGAACTGGGTGAAAGTGTTGTGGTCAGATGAGACCAAAATCGAGCTCTTTGGCATCAACTCAAATCGCCATGTTTGAAGGAGGAGGAATTCTGCTTCTGACCCCAAGAACACCATCCCCACCGTCAAACATGGAGGTGGAAACATTATGCTTTGGGGGTGTTTTTCTGCTAAGGGGACAGGACAACTTCACCGCATCAAAGGGACGATGGACGGGGCCATGTACCGTCAAATCTTGGGTGAGAACCTCTTTCCCTCAGCCAGGGCATTGAAAATGGGTCGTGGATGGGTATTCCAGCATGACAATGACCCAAAACACACGGCCAAGGCAACAAAGGAGTGGCTCAAGAAGAAGCACATTAAGGTCCTGGAGTGGCCTAGCCAGTCTCCAGACCTTAATCGCATAGAAAATCTGTGGAAGGAGCTGAAGGTTCGAGTTGCCAAACGTCAGCCTCAAAACCTTAATGACTTGGAGAAGATCTGCAAAGAGGAGTGGGACAGAATCCCTCCTGAGATGTGTGCAAACCTGGTGGCCAACTACAAGAAACGTCTGACCCCTGTTATTGCCAACAAGGGTTTTGCCACCAAGTACTAAGTCATGTTTTGCAGAGGTGTCAAATGCTTATTTCCCTTATTAAAATGCAAATCAATTTGTAACATTTTTGACATGCGTTTTTCTGGATTTTGTTGTTGTTATTCTGTCTCTCACTGTTCAAATAAACCTATCATTAAAATTAGAGACTGATCATTTCTTTGTCAGTGGGCAAATGTACAAAATCAGCAGGGGATCAAATACTTTTTTCCCTCACTATACATAGTGAGCTGGCTGGGATTGTTGTGCTGGTCTGCATTTGTCAGAGGTCAACGGAAACCACCACCACCCCCATCTCTCCACACAACCTTTACTTTCTCTGTTATTGCTTTGGGTATCCCACCTTACCGCCATGGTCTGCACTGCTCTGAAGGGAACACCACACACAGAGAGTGAACATGGTACTGTGGAGTCTGGCAGCCAACTCTGTGGCCATAGGGAGAGTCCCCAGAAAGGCTCTCTGGAAACCACACACACACACACACACACACACACACACACACACACACACACACACACACACACACACACACACACACACACAGTGTCATGCACTGCCACAACTTGTTGTGCCTGTGTGGGGAGTGACTCAGCTGGAATCCTACGCAGGGTTATGACACAGCCCTGCCAGCCGGAGATACCAGAGATAACATCAGAACACCCCTCCTCTCCTCCATTACTCCTCTCCTACTCCTCCTCTCCTCCAGGCAAAACCTTCACAGCTTAATTTCCCCCCGTTCTTTTCTGTTCTTTCGTGTGAGTGCGATAAACGGAAGAGAAGAGAGGGGGAGGCTGAAGTACTTCCCCGCCACCCCATGTTTGTTTTTGTTCCTTATCTCCACTCTTTTTCTTTCCCTCCTTCTTTCGTTCTCCTGGAGATTTGCGTATTAAGGAGTTCTGGATGACTTGCTGTGTATTATTCCTCTCAGGGACTTTGAAGGTGCGAGGCAGGCTGCACGTAAGGTCACCACTGGATCCCCCCTAATGACTGCAAGCTGTTGGCAGTCAAGGGGGGAGGAGGGGAGGGAAGAGGGAGGATACGGAGTATGACTGAGGCTGCCTGCCTCTCTGCCTGCCTGGCTGGCACCTTTACGTTTCTCCCAGAACCCCATAGAAATAAATCCTTCTTGGGAAATAGAAGCCACCAGGCATGGCAACCCTTCCTCACCCCTCCACGTTCATAATGTCGCTGTTTGTTTTTGGTATTTGATGACTTAAGTGAACTTTTGGGAGCTCCCCCACCCCACGCCTACACCTTCCCCTCCCCTCCATGACCCAAATTCTTCCATAATATGCTCTTGTTTTCCCTGTGTCATTATTGCTCTTTGTCTTTTACAGTGTCACAGAACTCTTCCTTTCCATTGGTTTATTCACTGACACAGGGCGCTTTGCTCCTCTCCCAAACATGCACTTTACAGCCCGTGTTTTTTTCTAGACATCGCTACTACTCACTGTTTCTGTGTTTACATCTAACTTTAACTTCTACAAGTTCCACCAGGGAGAAACTTCAAACATACATACCTTTTGAAGTTTAAAGAAAATGTTGGTACACCAATTTAAAGAGAAATAATTCAGCTAAATAAATATGTCAGGCCAGGTCGGGTTTATTTTTTGTCGCTCTGCTACATTTCTACACAAACACCCATTTAGACTGGCACGCACACCTTTACAAAAAGGTCATGACTGAGATAGTCAAATCAGCAATACAACAACTTGTTTTTCAAGTCTTTTTTGCTTTTCCTACACTTTCTGTTGTTTCCCATAGAAATGGCCTTCTCAGATCATAAAGTCAGGAATTCAACCAATTAGCACAGTGTTCTGATTCTGGGATGCTGCATCCCTTCTATAATCCTATCAATGTTGTTCAGTTTATATCAAACAGTAATGATTTAATCGATGACCTTGGATGTGAGGAGAGTAGGAGATATATCCTGTTTGTTGTCTTGGGGATTTTCTTTTCACACTCAATGACGCACCTGGATTGAAAATTAGTATTTATCCATTGTTTATTGGTATGGCTACTACTCATCTGAGAATCAGATCATGATAATTTTTGCTGCGTCAAAGTGAGCTGTTGGTGGACATTTACCCAGCCGGATAGTGCGCAAAGGATTAAATTCAGGCAATAAAAAGGCCAGCCCTCCATGGCCATTCCTCTGTGACCCACCTTGTTCAGGGCTAGGCTGCATATACACAAGGTTCCACTAGTGCCTCTTACACTGTATCCCTTGAAACCTTGTAAAGGATCATCCTGGGAAATAACATGATTGCATAGACCAGAACATCCTGGGCTTTGACTGAACCATCTTGTGCTCTCAAGTCCTTGGGCATCCAGCCCCATCGTGCCCCATTCAGTTCCACCGCGGTCACAGCGTATATTGGCTAACTGCATGTAGAGAGTGTGCTGCATCAACAGCTCTTATTTAAATGAGTTTGACTTCTGGTCCCCATGCCAAGTCAATTAAGGGGAGAGAAGCAGTGGCAGGGGCCCACGGCCCAGTAGTGGAGTAGTGCTAGAGAGTTCTGGTCGGCAAACATTAAGTGTTGGTTTCGTACCTGCCTTTTTTATTTTTTTAAATAAGGCTTAATTATCAACGTATGTCTGCCCTGCCACGCAATGTTTACGGCAATAAAACCCCATCCCTAAACGAGCAGCTCAGGCCTTCCAAATAGTTTCCTTTAATCCTGGTCTTTAAGTGGGAGGAGAGGAGGCATGGTACAGACCGGGAATGGGGGAGAGTAGGCACCGTGTCAGTGTAGGTTAGGGAGGATGGAGGGATGGATGGGGTTTCTCCACAACCGAGCAAAGGTAGTAACTCTCCAGGGGAAACACACTCCCCGCAGGTATAGGAGCCTCGACTGTTTGCTCACGTCGAGTGCCGGGCGCTAGCAAAGTCAAAACCTGCCCTCCTGGAACATTCTTTCTCTTTCTTTCTCTCTCCCTCTTTCTCTCTTTCATGCACTCTCTTTCCTGTTCTCTCTTTATCTCTCCCTCTCTGTCTTTCATGCTCTCTCTCCCACTCTCTCCCTCTTCCATGCATACTTTCTCCCCTCCCCTTTCTCCCTCTCTCTCTCCCTCTATCCTGTATTTGTTGTTATACCAACATGTATCTGGTGTGTAGTAGAGCGTGATCACCAGTGGTTCTCATTGGAATAACACAATTAGTTCTGGTTTGTTTTATCTGCTTGACTGTGTTCATATGAGCCGATGTTATGTGAATATTAATGATATACCACACAGAGAAGGGATCTTTTCCATATTATTACACTGAATGTGTTTAAATACCAAAAACAAAGCTTGATTTCAGATGTGGGATTCCCTTTTTCCATGATCTCTAGATGAGCCACTTAGCTTCTATCATGATACGTATTATATTCTGTTTTTATTTAATTAATGTAATGCATACAATATGTCAGTGACCTCTTCAATCATGGATGCCTTGACCTGTTGGAAAAGTAATAGGATGTTACCCAACAGGGTCGATTGTCTTGTTGTTTTTAATGGTGTGAGTGTGTGTTTGTGGGCACCCTCAAGTGTGAGAGTAGTCCTCCCCAGCCCCAGCCCCAGCCGCAGACACACTTTCCTCCACTGAACACAGACTGACACGCACATACCTGGGGCCTGGCGTGATTGTGGCTTGTTTCTGGAGGTGGGGGTCAGGGGCTCTGACATACCTGCTCTTTCACGGGGGCTTTCATGTTGCTGTGGGTGTCCTCCTAGCCTGGTCCTGGGACTTCAACAGGGCTCCTGGCCCCCACTCGCCCCCTGCGGCTGCCCCGTTCCCAGCCACCCTCGGAGAACCCCGATCAGGGCCAGATGTGGCAGCTGGTTCAGCCACCCTGGAGGTCAAGGTCACAGGAAACCATGTCAAATTTACCACCCACCATCTCTCTCGACCAGATAGAGAGATAAACACACAGAGTGAGAGGGAAGAGGGAGGGAGGAAAGGGTGTAGGGTTAGGATTATGGGAGAGAGGTATTGGGTGGAGGGGAGAGACAGTAGAGAGAGAAGGGGGCTAGACTGACAGCGAGAGGGGGAGACAGTAGGGAGAGAAGGGGGCTAGACTGACAGCGAGAGGGGGAGACAGTAGGGAGAGAAGGGGGCTAGACTGACAGCGAGAGGGGGAGACAGTAGGGAGAGGGAGACACAGAGAGAAAGTGTGAAGCAGACAGCAGGATCGCAAGAGAGCAAAGGGAGGAGAGGGAAAAGAAGGAGGAATTGGAGCGGGGTGTTTTTTGCCCCATGCCTGGCTCTAGAGAGGCACAGAGGAAACGCTGTTCATGCGATTGACAGCTGTTTCTGAAGTGTGTCCGGCCTGCGCTTGTAAAGTCGTCACATGGAGAGCCCGATTTCTCAGAAGAGCCTGGTGCTGGCCGCCCAACCCTCGCCCATTAGGAAATCCCTCTCACAAACAACTTGGTTTAATACCCCATTTCAAAGACGGACCTGCGTCATCAGCTACTTGTGCGCTCTCCCTCTGTCAGCCCCAGGGCCCCCGATGTCTACTCTACAAACCCCATGCCCCCAATGGCCCTGGAGGCCTGAGTCCCAGCCAGGGTATTGGTGGGCTTCCCTGGATGTATGCTCTGTACTGTACTGTATATACCACCCAAGCTTACCACAGGATTGGAGGCCGTAGGGGAAAGTCTCGACTCTTGAGGGATCCTCTGACCAATGATATTCTGAGGAATCTTACCCATTTACTGTACTGTATCTCCTTCTTACCAGCCAATTAACTAGCTAATTGTGTTGGCCTGTGACTCAGTGATGTTATTACCGTAATCAGGGTTTTGTTGTATGTTGCCATAACAACAAACAATTCCACTTTCAGATAATAGGAGGATGAGACACTGACTGCTGAAGTTTGAAGTCCCATACCAGCCAACAGCCTTCCTAATTGTGCTAGCTATTAGGCCTAATAATTCTTAATGACTCAGTTTATTTGCTACCCCGTTGCTGTTTTATTTGTTGCGGTGGCCAGTGTTTATCTAGCGTCACTGCTCTGGCACTTCTGTCAAAGCCACTAATAGGACAACGAGACGGGGGGAAGAATGCAGATATACTCTGGTCTGAATCCTCCAGGAACTCGCTGGAGCCACATGTGTTGTTAGTTTCGAGTGACTGGGGATGCATTGTGTGTACCCAAACAGCTGAAGCAGGCCCTTGGAGAGGCAACACAGCAGCAGCTGGTGCCGTTGACGCACCGCCGACGTGCGCCTGTGGCGTCAAACGCTACACGGCGGCGGCCAATGGTACGCCGGGGCTATTTTGAATGTGCTTGTGGGCACTCATCACTTCTTGGAGAGTTGACACTTCACAACACTCGTAGTACTCCTCCATATTGCGCGATGGGATTGGCTGGCAGCAGTTGGCTTGTGTTGTTTGTCAAGCGGCGTTTCCTGCTAGTGGCGTCGATGGCGAGGCATCTGACACTATTACCACTGTTGTTAATAGGCTCTTTAGGAAGGTATCAGCACTCTTACACTGCCACAGTCCTCCTGATTGTGTTGGAACCCTGGAGAAATGGAATACAGACTGAATAACAAGCTTTGTTTATAGAGGTTTCATTGTATGTGTCTCTGTGTGTCCCCTCCAGGTGATCCCGTTCCCCATGTCCTGTGACATACGGGAAGACTGTGCCTGCCGAGACCCCAAAGCTCCAGAGAAAAGGAAAGACGAGCACGTCCACTCCCTGGGATGACCCTCCATCCTCGCCCCCCACCGGATTCCCGGACCCTCACCCCAAAACTACCCACACCCAGACTGGGACCGAGGGAGACCAGCCCTCCCCCTCCTTCCCTCAAATCCTCCACATGCTGCTTTACAGGAGTACCTCTCCACCCATACTGCACCCCCCTAACAGACGCCTGTCTCCTCCTTCTCCACATTGGGAAAGACCTAGATGAACAGACCAGACTAGAGAGGCTATAATGGAAAACCCATTTCTCAAAGAAAGGAACGAACCTGCAAATTCACCAACCACCAAAACATCTACAGCAAGAGAAATAAAGAAAACTTAAATACCGAAAGGTTTTTGAATGAAGGATATGAAAAATTAACAAAAAACTAAACAAACCAATCTTGGATAGCATGCCTTTTGTTCAGTTTTGTGTCAGCTTCCGTGTACATTTCAATGACATTGCCATACAATCTCATTATTTTATTTTAGACCAAAGGAAAAAAGAAACAGAGTGAGAAACATTATCCATATCATATGGAATCGATTTTTGTTTTGGGTATGCTGAAGTCATTAATGGTGGCACTGAATGACAGACAGAAGAGCTATTGCCAAAATAACAGATAGTATGAACGCACTTGATGTATCCTCATGTTGTATTGCTCCAGAGCTGGTGTGTGTTCCTAGAGCCAGCACAGCACAGGGATCAGGCTGACAGTTTGTGCCCTCTGCCTTCTCTTGGTGGAAATGCATTTTCTTGTTCTTCAGAAATCACAGGCTTAGAATCTCTGCTCTTACACAGATGTGAAATAGGAAAAAATAGGCATTGATCGGGATATAGGTGGCCATATTGGTAAAGAGATTAAAACCAGAGAGGTCTAACTCAATATATCTAACATATAACAGGAAGTGACATCACGGGAAATTAAGACATATTACAATGCCATAGGAACAAGTGAATGTGGGAAAGAGGTAGAGTACTTATGAACGCAAAAACTGTTATATAGGGCTGCAAAAGATGAACCAGTTGTGTTAGCATGGCTGCTGCTGCTATGTTTGCTGCTACTTTGCCATATGACCAGCTCTGCAGACTATTACTACCCAGTGAGGTTGAACGGAGCCATCCCCGTCTGCCTTAACGCTTACCTCCTAACACCATCTGTTAGTGGACACTTGTTTCTGCGTGTACAGTACACTCAACTTAAACCTAGAATAAACACTCCTGCAACATTGCAAACGGTTAGTAGAGAAACAATGCAGTTGCAATAGCCTCAAAAAACGTAACACCTCACATTTCCATTTCTCTATCCTTAGTTTATGCAGTCCAATATGTCTTCATAGACAAATAACCTATCGGAGAAAACGCCAGAAATGTATCCAATCTTACACCAAAAGCAAAGTTGACTCAATACAAAATTCAATACATATTACTGAATTTAAAATGACTTCAAGTATGTCATTGATAACACCGTTATAACCACATGAATGTAGTCAATGTTTATTCACAACTACACCCTCAAACTGTTTTCAGCAGCATAGCATAGCCTTGATTTCAATAGTCATAGTTCAATAGCACATACACGTACAAACAAATAGGAGGCTTTCCTCATTTTAGTATAAATGGCATCTAGATGTATTCGTTGTCAACAAGTAGCCTTTAGTGCAGCAGTAGTAGTAGTACAATATTTACCAAATACATTGTTGTCTTGGCTTCTCTTGAGCCCAATGGCTTGACAGACTGCATGTGTTTAGTAGCCCAGTTTGGCCTTTTCTTACCTCTGCAGTAATTTGTGCTGAAGGTGCCATCCCTGGCACTTTGTCAGTATTGTGACATTTGAGCGTGTCCCCCCATCAACCACACAACCACCTTTACTTCAATAGACTTATGGCTGCTATTCTGTGCTCTGAACTTACTCATCTCCTTTCATAGCCCTTGAACGAAACGTTCATCAACATATGGTCATGAAGGCTGCTTGGCATAAGGTCCACAGGTTGCTGCTTTATGATTCAGCCATTGCTGGGCTATCTGGTCATAACTCCAAACAACCCATAACTCTATACCCCTCTTAAACTCTCTCATCTGGTATGGACCAATGGAATGGTCCCTCTGACTCATCACCCTAGGCTGCTATAAGTCATTCCAGAATATTCCCATACACCATTCTGACCAATCACAGGTCTTCATAGATACAGACTGAGTAGAGAGATAATAGGACAATACCACGTCACAAAGGAAAGTAGGGAGACATTACAACGTCAAATGTATAATGTAAATATAACATTTTCAGTGTAATACTGCTTTTTACGTGAGAAAAAAAAAACGTAAAATTGTTCTGTTTTTATTTTTCTCATTTCTATTTTATTTTTTACAAAATGATGTCATATTTAATCAGTATTTGTATTATTGACCTCAGTTACTGCACTTTTTAGTTGCCATTCAAGAAGAAAAATATATAAGTCAAACCGTTTAGAAGCTGCTATTGTCAGAAAGGTGATTTGAAAAAGTGTATGATGTTTTTGGTCGACTCCTACGATATTACTATTAGCTTTCCTGTGATTAGTGTCTTGTATTCCCTCTAGCTTTGCACCTGATATTATCAAGCCCAGTAGGAAGCCAGTGTCAAATATGATTTGTACATTCATCATAGACTTTCTCGGATTTTGTATCCATTATCATATGATGATGATATTATTGTATCAAGGCTATTTAATCTGGGACTTGCACCATTTTTTAAAATGTAGGTTCAATTATCAAAAAGTCAAATGTACACATTTTGAAATATTATACATGATATGTAAGCATTTACGTATTTTGTGTTCCTCCTGGTTAGGGGACAAACATTTTATTTTAGCACCATGGTTTGTGTAATCCATCATCTTATGTATTTGTTGCAAATTGTGTCGTGGTAACCATGGAACGTCAAGGAGAACGGATAACTAAATGAAGAAACTACCAAAAAAAGGGACTCGAAAGTTGGAGATCTTTCAGACTTTGAAAACCTGAGTAACGCAACTGTCTGGAGACTACATTCATCGTCAAAAAGCCTACATCAGCCTTGACAATTGTGCATTTAACACTTTATACAATATATAGCCCTGGTAAAATTAACTGTATTATGTTGATATTATCAAATGGTATGTAATAATACTCCTAATACTGCTGCTTTCATTAGAAATATTACTAGTAGGGAGAGATTGAACAGCAATCACTACACAAAGCCAACAACAGTACTGTGGATCATCATCACCTGCTAACACACACAGGATTTCTGAAAAGCCATCCATGGACTTCCCCAAGGGTTATCTTGCCATTGGACCATCCCTTCATCCTCAAACTGGACAAACATTACAGGCTGATGACCAGTCATCTCTTTCATCACTCTTTCTTTCACTCATCTACAGCTCCTCTCTTCGACACTGTCTTGTGTCGTCATCCTCATCAATGTCATTAAAAAGTCCTGATACCAGAAACGGTGACTCTCGGAGAGAGGGATCTGAGAGTCTCTACAGAATGTGACTGCTTGTGTGTCAACCTGGACACAATCTGGACACGTTAAGTTTCTGATGTGTTCTCTGTATTGGACAAGGTACTGTTCCAAAGCCATAAAGCCAGGATGTTATGAAATGAAGTTTCAGATGCGATGTTTTGAATACGAGAAAATCACCTCTGCTGTAAGCCACCACAGGATCCCTTTGCTGTACCTCATGCCTGTAATGTTTGCTGCTTCTATATTTTGGTAAATTAGTAATTTTTGCGTCTCTTAGCAATGGTGTAAATAGTAGAACTATTTATTAAGAGTGTTATACTTTTTTAAGTTATATTTAATGTTCATGTAAATTATTTTTTACATTGCTCTTATAAACAGACATATTGGTTGTGAGGTAAAAACTGTATTTTTTCCCTTTTGTGATTTTATTTCTGTCCCAATGTTGTCGTCACAAAGCGTTGGTCAAGGTTGTTGTCTCATTGGTTGTCTCATTGGACACTTCTCTCGTCCAGTGAGGATTTACCACAAGTTTATGTAACTGAGTGCAGTGCACAAGTATGTGTGTTTTTATTTCTATATCACAAATCCAGAATGTACTGTCATTTTTATTTTGTTCATTCATTAACTTTTCAAATGTAATCCGAATTTGCTCTGAAGAGAGAACCTATATCATGTTGAAGTGGTTAGATCCATACTCAATTAACTCTGAGGGCTACCGTGAGGAGGACAGAATATACACAGCCATTCAGAACAACCAGTGGTAGGCAGGCAGGGGGTTGGGAGCTGCAGAGGATGAGGAGGAGTGGGGAGGAGTGATCAGGCAGCTGGTAGTGCCCCAGGTGGTGTGATGGTAGAGGGGGTAGAGCAGGGGAAGGAGTCGGATGGGTGAAGGTGGGCTGCTTTTCCTGGCGGGGTATTTGTCCAGGTGTGAAAACTGTGGACACACAGAGCTGCCCCTGGGCCAGCGCTGACTGGCAGCAGGCCGAGGCCGATGAGTCAGACTTTCTCCTGGAGGTGGCGGCTGTTCTCTGAGGGACTCCCCTCCTGACACGCCGGGCCATCCGTCACTGTCTGGAAGAAGAAGCGTCCGGTCGGCCGGCATAGCGTTCAGGTCGTATAGGGAACGCGGCGGTGGTAAGGTGGGCCGCATGGAAGACCAGGGAGGAAGGAGGATAGGAAGACTACCTAAGATATGAGCCCTAATGCAGCAGGCTGAGGGACATGCCCTTCCCTTCACTCTCAGACCAGAGGAGGATTTGAAATGCATGGCAGAGAGTCCGCTTCCATGTCTTTCCATAGACAACTTCTGATAGTCCATCTTATTGTGGATGGGAGGTGATTCTCTCAAATCCAAACTAGCTACATACCAGCCATGAGTAGCCTGGGTTTCGGCAAAAAACAGTTGGGTTTCTGTGGTTTTAGCTAGTTCTGCTAAAAGTGGTATCCTTTCAGCCCCTGTGGCATCCCACCATTACCCATGGGAAGCAATGGCGACAGTGGTAGCCTAGAAGTGGCTGGCTGTAGCCCTTGAGTTTG